TGCAGAGACTTGGGGTAGGAGCGTGGATAAGGTGGGGGCGTGCCAGGGAAGGAGAACTCCAAGGAGTTCGGAAGCACGGAGTGGGTAGATGGTCAGGGGCGGTGGATGGGCGGTGGGGGAGCCCGTGGGGGGGGGGGGGGGGCGCGGGGGGGGTGGGGGGGGGCGGGGAGGGCGGGGAGGGCTGGGCTCGGGCGGGAGTGGGAGCTGCAGGTCAGCTGGCGTCTTCTCCCGATCTCCAGACCTTCCAGACCTTACGAAGTTCTCTCCCCAACATCTCAGGGCGGGCGGGAGAAGGGGGGGGGGGGGGGAAGCGAAGGAGAAAGGGACCCGGCAGGAGCGCACCGTGCGCCACCGGGCTTTTCGCTTAAAAGGGCGGCTTGCCTGTCGTGCGAATTTCACCTCAATAAATTCTTTTTAATGGAAATTAATAATTTTGATGGTCTCCAGAAGGAGTTGGTTGGTGTCTTCAGCTAGGTCCAAAATCGATGCAAGTTTGGAGCGAAGGGTGATTAAGATAGTCTGCCGTAGGTTGTTTTTTTTTTTTTTTTTTTTTTTTTTTTTTTTAAGGTATGGTTTTACAACATTCCAGGAAATCATCCTATTTTGTTTTCGCTTTTTTCAAGATTTGAATACAATGTTAATGGAATTTTCTTGTTTGCTGATTGCGGATAAACTTATTTGGATGATGGGGGGAAGGGGTTCTGTACAGACAACTCAGGAAAAGACAGTCTTGAGGAGAAGGCTCTGATGGGTTTCCAAAGCCTCAGAGGAGAAATAGTTTCTTTTTTTTTTTTTTTAAGTTTATTGTTTAATTAGAGATTGAGAGAGAGTGCAATGGGGGAGGGGCAGAGAGCGAGAGAGAGAATCCCAAGCAGGCTCCATGCTGTCAGCACAGAGCCTGATGCAGGGCTCGAACTCAGCAGTAATGCCTTTGTGACTTAGATTCTCGGATCGCCGGTTTTAAATACTACGTCTGGGGTTTCTGTTACAATAAGTGTACTCCACGGGGGAGATAGTTCTTTGAAGGTCGTGGGAAAATAGCGTGTTCTAACAACCGCTTTTAGATCATTTAAATGAGTTTTTCTGCTTGAACAACCCCCACCTACTTAGTGCCTTCTCTGGTTATTTTGCGTTATCGCTCCAACACTCTTGCAGCTAGAAAGTTTTGCCAGTGTTAGGCCACAAATCTGTGATTAGAAATTTCAACTACTAGGGCCCCTGGGGGGCTCTGTCGGTTGGGCGTCCGACTTCGGCTCAGGTCACGATCTCATGGTTCGTGGGTTTGAGCCCCGCGTCGGCCTCTGGGCTGACAGCTAGATCCTAGAGCGGCCTAGAGCCTGCTTCGGGTTCTGTGTCTCCTCTCTCTGCCCCTCCCCCGTTCGTGTTCTGTCGCTCTCTCTCAAAAGTGAATAAACACTAAAAAAAATATTAAAAAAGAAAAGAAATTTCAACTACCAATTAAAAATGAAAATTTTAAAGGAGATATAAGGCCAAGTGGGAGGATGGCCATGGAGAGGGGAAACCAAGGTAGACTTGGAGGAGAAAGGTAGGGGCTTAAGGAGAGACGGGGAGAGATGAGTGGAGGGTAGGGGGGTGGCAAGGAGATACGGCAGGAAGAGAGCTGCCTGGGTGGGGCGGGGAGGGTGACATGGATGGAAGGGAGGCAGGAGGTAAAGCAGAAGAGACAAAAACCTACGGTGTTCTAAACTTTGCTCCTGAAGTGGGAAGTTGCCCCAAAGATTGTATTTGTTTTCTTTCCTCTTGGCAGACGTTCTTGGGAGCCACCAGGGGAAGCCATCTTGGAACCCATTAGGGGGCTTGCCAAGGAAAACCCCTTTGGAGCCTCTGAGGGGCCCTGTTTGAGGGGCCTCTGAAGGGACACCTCAGAAGGTCGCCTTCCTTCAGGAGGGTCCAGGCAGCCCCACTGACCAGGGAAAGGAGAGGAGCCTTTGCGAGTGGATCACGACGAAGGAAAACCACCGTCGGGGCCGTGGGGTGGCCGACGTTGAAACAGCGTTCCCGGGCCAGGCTGCCAGCCTGACTGTGCCTGTGGATGGGGTTAAAAGATCTGGGCAACGGTGTTTGGAGCCACCGTGTAGCCCGGACTCGATCCCAAGGCAGTGGGCACGTCTGGCAGTCTCTGGAAGAATCTGGAAGGTCAAGGTCACATTTCAGCAGTGTCGGCATCTTTGGGCCGCGACTGGCTGTAAGTACGGGCTGCCTCCGATCCCCGTTCCCTGTGGAATCTGAACTGACTCTTCCCTTCGGACTCCACAGACCTCCCTGCGTTGGCGGATAGCATTTGGAGGGAGACACCCCAGGAGGGAGATGCTGGCTTTCTGCCAAAAGGCCTGGGGAGCCCAGGAGACTAGAAATGTAAGAGGTGGGATCCCATTTGTCCCTGAGCGTGTGCAGCGCTTTCTGCCAGGTGGACTCACGATCCCTGCTGCTTAGGGCATCGAGATAGAGCACGAGGCAGGTTGCCTGCATTTAGTCTAGAATGAAATAAACAATTAACTCCTGGGCCCACGACCTTCTCGTCCAACCCACACTCCTCAGATTCGCCTCCGTTCCTTCCTCGATCTGCCCTCCCCTGTCCCTCTTTGCAAACCTTTTTCCAGCGATTCTTGGTCCCCGCTCCATTATGACCCGCCTCCTACTTACCCCTCAAGTGGCCTTGACAGACGTAAGCTGGGCTGTGTGTCTGCGGGGCCTCGAACCCGGAGCTTTGCTTTGTGCGTCGTAGGTGGCCCCCAGTGCGCCCGCGGCTATGGCATCCTCTCCCGGAGGCAAGTGCTCCTTCGTCTCCTCACGGTGCCCAGGGTGGCGATGGGCCAGCCCGGGTTCACCCAGTGCCTGTCGTACAATTGCCGGTCACTTGCCTCCCCCTGACAGTGATGCTTACAATGCCTTTTGTCCTGGGTCCCCTGCCTGCCCGGCGGGTTCCTTGAAGGTTCTCGCAGCCCTCTGTAACATTGTCGTTTTAGCATTTTGGGGTGGTATTGTTCCCTGGGTGGGGGGGGGGGGTCCGTGTCATCAGCCCTCAGTCAGCCAGCGTGGCTCCAAGCGGAGAAGGGTCCTGGACGAATATATGGTGCATAGCACACAAAATACAGCGAGTGCGGAAGGCCACGCTAGGGCTTGGCTGCGGGAAGCAGATGTTCGAGTACCTTCTGTTCAGACGGCTCTCTTGGCTTACCAGTATTACCTCCAGGGCGTGCTTGCGACCAAGCACGCATGTCCCACGTGTGGGACGGATATGATCCATAATGCTCCTCAGAAATGTCATAGATTTAAACAGAGATAGGGAAACGGCCAATATAAAACTACCTTGGAAGTTAGAAATAAGTCAGGGTCCTGTAGGGCAGCAGGGAACGAGGGAGGCCAGCAGGTGCTACCGCCGTCTTTCAAAATTCTTCTGTCTGCTCTGTGCTTCCCAAGTTTAGTGTCACCAGCCTTGCCGCTCAACAGCTCCCTAGGCCCCTGACCTGAGCGCAGAATCTTCCCGAGGCATGTGGTAAGCGCTTCGGTATCTGAAGTTCCCAAGGGGAAAAAGAGCTCAATGATGACATGGTGTGAGAAGGGCTGGAATTGTCAGCAGGTCTACACCGGGAAGGGGCCGTGAGCCACGTGAGCTAAGCACTTGGCCTGAGTTAGCTCTCGAATCACCCGGGTAACCTAGGAGGGGGCGATGTCACAATGCCCTTTTTTCCAGTGAAGAGAACAGAAAGGCTAAGAAACGTGCTACTACGATCAGCTCAATT